TGTTTTGAAGAGTTTTAAACATAAATTGTAGCAAATTGAGTAGGCTATAGGTTCAATTTGGTGAGATTAGGTCATATGACTGAAATTGGCGGTTTGATTTAGATCAACATTGGGCTCAAACAATAGGCTAATTAAGCTTGGATTTAGTTCAAATTGGTCATATAGAAAGTGAATTTGAGTTTAGGATTGAAATTGGGACCAAATTGATGGACATTTGAGGTGAATTTAGGACATTTGAGGTTTTAAAGGCAATTTTATGTGAATTTATGGAAATTGGGTCTTTAAAGGCAATTTGGGGGTTTTGGTCAGAAATAATCAAATTGGTCAAATTGGGTCATGTGGTAGTTAAAAAAAATGAAATTGAGAATATTTGGAAGGTTTTGGGAAATTTTTAGATTTTTTTGGAATTTTTTAAATTTTAGGCTAAGGAGGGGCATTTTGGTAATTTGACAATTTTTTTGGTGATTTTGGGTAATTTGGAAGTATTCAAAAGGTTAGAAATGATTTTTGAAAAAATTTGGGTATTTTGGGTAAATTTGGGAATTTTGGCCAAATTTAGGGTTTCAAGGGTACTTAGGTAATTTGGGGCAGTGGGTTTAGGGGATTATCTACATGAGTCTCCCAAAGGATTAATATATCTAAGTCAGAAATTTTGGGTTTAGGGTCGTAAGTGACTGTGGGTGAGGTGAGTGTAGTGAGTGTAGTTAGTGCCTTAGCTCTAGACAAACACCCAGGATCAACTCTAAGGTCGAACAGTTCTATGGGAACTCTCCTTGAGCTCTCCCATAGTGACCACACCTACTAAGTGCTAGAGGTTAGAATCATTATGTGGAACTTCAAGTTGAGTAAAGAGAAGTTTGGAATTTCTAATGGTGAAAGTTCCTTTTCTAGTTTTCTAGGAATAGTCAACAGGAAAGTCCTATGGCTAGACCCTAGGCTACTAGAGAGGAAAAACTAGACCTCAACCAAAAGTGAGGTCAACAACAGAAAATGTGCAAGAAGCTTCAACAAGTCAAGAACCACTTATCCCCTGTGAGACAAATTTGTTTGCAATGTCGGATAGTCTCACTCAAGTATATTTTTGAAATTCCATGCATTTACACATTATTTTAAATAAAATATGTTTCTGAGTGTTAATTTGATGTTTATCTTAAAAAACAGAAATATTTTACACTACAGCCATCACGAACTTACACCGACATGTTGATGTAGTCTATTGATGAACTCTAATCTTTAAATTTCTTTAAATTGATGTATTAGATAATCAAATTATATTGAAATTCTTAAAATACTTTAAATTTTGTAAATTTGTTCTCGCAGTGTTTGGTTTTATTCTGACAATATTTTGGTTGTATTGTGACAATTATTATAGTGGAATTGTCACTATTTTCTTGTATTATTAAAATAATTGGTCACGGTAAGAGAATATTTTCCTGTGTGATTGAGGTAATATATTGGTGTGCGGTTAGATTGAATTATTCAACGGTAATAAAAGAATATTCTCCCATAATATTGGAATATTTCCCATGTGATTGAGGTAATATTCTGGTTTCAATCCGACTTTATTACGAGAGAAAGTATATAATGTCGCGGTCGGATTGGAATATTCCACTGTGATTGAAGCATTATTGGAATATTACAGAAACAGTTTGTTCTAAATAAATAAAAATTTTATGAAATATCTAAATAATTTTGAATCAAAAAAAGTTTTCAAAAAGTACAAAACAATTTGGTTATAAGGTGAATGAAAATCGTATTTATAGAATTTAAAACGGTGGAATATTAAACAAAACTCATAATAAGGTTAATGAAAATCGTATTTATAGAAATTAAACAAAACTCATAGCAATCATAAATAATTTTGTTATAAATATTTGCATTTTACATGATTTATAATGATTCATGTACACTATTTTTTTATTAAATACTGCATGAAAATGCCTTAAAACATGAGAGTTTTTGGTTGAGTAGTGCAACATAAAAAAAAAATATAAGCATCCCTACTTAAAAGGAAGCATATCAAAATAGAATAACGCCAAACTCTTGAAATCTATAAAATTTAAGAATCAAAAGTGTCGTTCGAGCCAATTAACATTGGAACTTCACTGAATTAGTTAGTATACCAATTCTGATTAGACCTGCTCCAACCTGATCGAAATTGCAACACTAATGCTTGGGTTACAAAAACTGTGGTCTCCAATCCAAGGGTACACTCTCAAAATAAATAATAAATACACATAGACACACACATATACATAAGAATTATATTCACTTAAGAGACATAGTTAATGAATAGAGATCATGGGCAAACTCTGCCCTAAATTTTGGCATATCCGCCTGTAAATCTTCTTTTTCACTCCAGTCACTTTGGTGAGCTTGAACTAACTTTTCTATAAATTTTCATACAAACATGCCACAATCAATACTATTATTTTGTACAAGGACTCCACTTACGAGTGATAGTGACCATTTGACCAGCTTGGCCCTGAACTCCTTTCTGCAATCTTTTACAAACAATTTGATTTGGCAAGTTTTCATGTGGAAGTGATTAGTGCATTGAGAAATATGAATAAGAATGAGATGTTCTATCAAGAATACTTACAACGTCATAGCACACGGATTTGTGCATCTTGTTGGTAATGAATCGTATAACTTCCATTTTCTATTTCTCAAATCCGCAACCAACAGTATCCAGTGGTCATTGTGAATAATATGAAATAATATGATGTCAGCATTTTTTACCTCAACTTTTGTGATATGTCTAACCAACGAAGAGATTTGGCCACGTCTACGCATCTGCATTACATCATACAAAGATGTTACTGGTCAGAATATGAATTTAATAATTAAGTAGAATTTGTGTACTTACCCAATAATAATTTCAATACTACTCTGCAGTCCTGACATTATCTCTTGTATATTTAAGACTCCTGCATTTATTGTATTGAGTGCTCTTTGGAATTCCCTGAACCATTTCTCCTCAGCTCTAAGTAGCTCAATGATTACTTCAAGGCTTTGATTGAATTCACCTTTTGCTGGCTCTTGGGTGATGTTGCTTGAGAGAAACAATCCCACATCATATGACACTAGTGATTGTGGTTTGGCTTGAGCTTTTTGGTGCAGGAATGTGGTGCCGGAATGCCCTTTCCGGAGTGGATAATCCTTCATCAGGATTCACCAGCAAATAATGTTAGTCCTCTTTTAAATCCAAAAATTTATCATGAACCTACAATTTAATTAAGAATTATAGGATGTTAAAAAATAATAGCATAACACATGAATACAACATTGACTTAAATCACTTACTTGTGTTGGACTGAACCTCTTGAAGGCTATGTCAAGTTTCGAAAAATTCTAACTTACATCCGTTGGCCACCTCAACATTCTGGGTTTGGCCTCAGGATGAACAGGAGTGAACAAATTTGTATGCTCGTAAAACCAGAGCTGTGTAAAAGTAATGTCATATGATGCTTTGTACATAATGAATGAATTTTATGAAGCTCATATAATACACTTAGCCTTAGGAAATAAAGAAAACCATTTATATATCCCAAAGAGCGATTTCACCTTATTTTAATGGCTACTGTATTGATTTGCTCTATGAGGAAATCACATAACGCTGCAGGCCAATTAAATGAGTTGAATGTTTGTAAGTCTCAGCAAATGTGTAACGTTCCTTGGGAACACTAATGTTACTAGAAGGGAAAAATAAGTTTGATAACAAACACTTTAAAAACAATTCATCAAAAGGTGTAGAACACTCCCCACTTGAAACATTCAAAATCTTATTCTTAATGTGGCCTGCATCCACACTGGAAGACGAAGATTTTTTCTACTCTAGCACTTCTCCTCTGTTCGACATGCCTATCAACAGGGCAATCTCATTAGAGCTTATTCTGAGATCTTTTCCGCCCATTCTGAATATCATTCACTCATATTGCCAACACTTTAATATTTGTAGAGTCAGCACATTGTCTTTCAGATAAGAAGGTAGATCAAAAAATTGTTCAACATTCAATGGTCTCAAGCTATTCCTTCTCTCCTCTGATAAGCCAAGCTTGACCTTATCAAAAACATCTCTTATAATGTATGGACGACAACTACAACTAAAGGACCTTGGGTTCACAAACCTGAAAAAAAAATTATACAAAAAATATAGCCAAATAGCTATCTATAAATCATTAACACGAATAGAACAACAAAAATACACCTCAACAACATTAAAGAGATGAATATGCTATTCAAGTTTTATTAAGGTGCTCTTTTAGTGTTCTTGTAGTGTTACTGAAACATTATTATGATTTTATCATGATTTTATTATGATATTATTATAGTTTTTTATGGTATTATTATAGCGTAAATGTTATTATGATATTATTATGGTGTTATTATAATATTATTATGGTGTTGGTGTTATTATAATATTATTTTGGTGTTATTTTGGTAATATTTCAGTATTATTAAGGTTTTATTACAATTTTATTAAAAAAAGTATTGAAATATGACCATACTACAATGCTAGATTTTGAGAGCAACTACAAAAAGAAAAAAAATCACCTTGATGCGCTTTCATGACTGTTGAGCTCTTTGGTGAATCTATCTCTTTTCCTTCCTTCTTTTGCTCTGTAGTTTCTATCGTCTCCGACACTTCGGTCTCTTCGGTGGGCTGGTCAGCTTCCATTTTTGTGTGAATAGGGGAGTTGAACGGGACAAATGATGATTCCAAATGCAAATCCTAGCACGCAGCGAGCAGAGGAGGGGGATAGAGGAATATGAAGTAAACAGCCCGGGAGTCGGCTTACCTTACCAATGCAATTTTATTTTTAGTAGTTTAAATTCCGCCTGATTGGAAGTTCGGGCAGGGCTGGCGTGATTAAATAGGATTGCATTTTCATGTGGTGATACGCTCTGGCCCCGTAGTTAAAAGAGTTTTTTTATTTTTTTATTTTTATTTTTATTTATAAAGAGTGAGACCCACACTTACATGTGATAATTGATTGGAGCCCGGACGATCTCTACGTCCGGGACTGAATAAGCGCTCCTAAATCCGTCGCCAGACAAGTCGTTAGCTCTTACAATCATTAAAAACCCTAGCTACGCAAACCTGCGGTGCGGCGGCGATCTCTGCTCGCGATGGCGACGACGAACTCCCCTAATCTTGAGTGCCGGATGTATGAGCCCCGATTTCCGGAGGTCGATACTGCGGTGATGATTCAGGTCAAGAGCATCGCAGAGATGGGTGCCTACGTCTCTCTTCTAGAATACAACAACATCGAGGGTATGATCCCCTTTAATGAGCTCTCTCGCCGCCGCATCCGTAGCGTCAACTCCCTCATCCGCGTTGGCCGACAGGAGCCTGCCATGGTCGTCCGTGTCGACCGCGACAAGGGCTACATCGATCTCAGTAAGCGCCGAGTCTCCGAGGAGGACATCCATGCATGTGAGGAGCGCTACAACAAGAGCAAGTTAGTACACTCCATCATGCGCCATGTCTCCGAAACCGTCGGCGTTGATCTCGAAGATCTTTACATCCACATCGGTTGGCCGCTCTACCGCAAGTTCGGTCACGCCTTCGAGGTCTTCTTTGACGGATTCCACCATTCTTCCGCTTCAATTTTTTTTTTTTTAGAATGTAAGATATGATATTTTGTTTGCTTATTTTTGCCGTGGCAGGCGTTTAAGCTTATTGTCACGGATCCCGATTCGGTTCTGGAATCGCTCACTAAGGAAGAAAAGGAAGTTGGGTCGGATGGGATAGAGGTGATGCTGACGTCCATGAAGAGTTGATTGTATTATTTAAAAGATAGGTCTTTTGCTTATGGTGTTTTTCTGCTTTTGTTACTGAAAAATTTTTTCAGGTGACGAAGGTGGTACCCGCTTTGACTGAGGAGTTGAAGGATGCCCTTGTGAAGAATATCAGAAGGAGGATGACTCCACAGCCACTGAAGATTCGTGCTGATATTGAGATGAAGTGTTTTCAGTTTGATGGTGTTCTGCACATAAAGGTGGACTCTTTTCCCTATTATTATTTCTTAGTCATGAATTGACGTCTTGTTTTAGTTCTTCAGTCAAATGGATATGTTTCATTCTTCTGACCTGTTTAAAAAGTTGTTTGCTTTATTTGCAGGAAGCTATGAAGAAGGCGGAAGCCGCTGGGAATGATGATTGTCTTGTTAAGATTAAGCTTGTCGCACCTCCTCTTTATGTGCTTACCACACAAACGTTGGACAAGGTTGGTGATTAAGGTGGTTAATTTGTGTACACATGTTAGTTTTGTATATTTCATTTTTTATGGATTCTGAAATCAAGTAATGGATGTTGCAATTTGACTCAATATTGATCTGAATCCGATTTAATTAGAACTTGGCACATCTAACCCATTTATTGTATGGATGATTCAATTTTTAGATGAATATGACTCATTATTTCTAAATATGAGCTTTTTAACCTAATTAATGCAACCAAACTCGCCTAACCCGAACATAAATGGTAATTGAGCAATTTTAGGTTTTCAGTTAACCTAAGATTGACATGAAGAATAATGAGGTTAAGAACATCGACTCAAACTCGATACAAATAGTTATCACCACATGAGCTTGAATTTTTTTTAGTCTGGTTTAGGTCTTTTTTTGACCGTCGTATTTTCAAGGTTGTTTGGTTGCAACATTTAGATATATGACTTAGCGAAATATGCCAAATAGGTTTTTAAGCCACATTAGTTCTACTATGCTCTTAAATGCTCTTTTCTTTTCCCTTGTTAGTAAATTTTGGGAGAAGTATGGTATAAGAGAGTTGTGCTACTTTTCCTCACTATGTATTTTATTCTCTATTTAAATTCTAAATATTGAAAATATTTGCCAAAAATTTTAGTAGAATTTAATCAAACTTAAAATTTATCATATTGAACAAATTTTTAAACCCAAGATTTAATAGATTTGAATGTACAACATTTACTAGTCCTATTTGAGTTAAGTCATTGTATCCAAATTATTCCTTATAGGGGAAGGGACTTCGACCTTTAAAATAACAACAACAACAACAACAACAACAAAGCCTTAATCCCACTACGTGGGGTCGGCTACATGAATCCTTTTTCTCCATTGCGTCCTATTTAGTGTCATATTTTCATTTAGTTCTAGTAAATTAAGATCATTTTTAATACAATAAGCCCAAGTCTTCCTAGGTCTACCTCTGCCTTTCTTAACACAAGTCGAATTTAAATCTACTCTCCTAATCGGACCATTAGATGGTCGACGTTTAATGTGACCAAACCATCTAAGACGACTTTCTCTAATTTTGTCTGTCACAGGAGCTACACCAACCCTATCACGAATATATTCATTCCGCATTTTGTCTCTAAGTGTAAAGCCACTCATCCACCTAATCATTCTCATCTCGGCAACACTTAACTTATTATTATGCTTCTCTTTTAAAGGCCAACATTCAGCGCCATAGAGCATTGCAGGTCTCACCACCATCTTATAAAATTTTCCTTTCAGTCTTAGCGGTACTTTTCTATCACACAAAAAACCCGAAGCATTCCTTCACTTCAACCAACCAACTTGAATTCTACTATTAACATCCCCATCTATATCACCATCGCTTTGGACAACGGACCCAAGATATCTAAATCGTTCACACCTTTTAATAATTTGATCACCCAAAGTCACACTTCTGTCACTAGAGCTATTACTACTAAAATTACATTCCATGTATTCAGTTTTAGTTCTACTTAAACGAAGGCCTTTAGACTCCAATGGAGACCTCCATAATTCAAGA